CACTTTTTTCTATTATCTCTTTTTTTTTCCCCTAATCATCAAAACCACAAGTCAAGCAAAAGTGCATTTTTTTCTGTTTTATGAAAAAAGTCTCTAAGGGTTTCCAGTCAGCTATAAATGTAGATATTGTTTTTTCTGGAATCAAAGAACAGATTTTACACATTTGGGAACTCTGCCGTGAGAGACGGTCAGTTTAAGGGGAAAAATATGACTTTAAAAGTGATACAAGCTGAGGCTGTTTCACTCAGACTGAGGTGGGAAACTTGGGGCCAGGGAGAAGATCGGCATTGCTGATAGTGTTATGATGAAGTACAAGTCAAGACGGGTAAAATAAACAGCAGACATTTTAAAAAGTAATAGGACAGATGGCAGCAGATCTTGGGGGATTCCCTTCAACTCAGCAGTTGAACTTGAATGGGAGGCCACCAGGAAATGCCAGGTGTGGGAGCTAGACTAGACAGTCGAGAAAGTCACTGGGAAAAAGTTGTGGTAAATAAGCTGCATTGTGCTGCAAAGAAAATAACATGAATACAGGTAACCCTCGCTTAACAACGGTAATTGGGACTGGAATTTCCATCACCAAGTGATGCTGTTGTAAAGCGCGATGTCACATGACTGCATCGCTTAGCAGTGGCAATCCCAGCAGTCCCCGTTGCTGTCGTTAAGTGAGGACCTCCTCGCAACTGCCTGCCAGCTTCCAACAAGCGAAGTCGATGTGGAAGCCAGCAGGGAGTCGCAAGCCCCTTGCAGCTGCAGCTCGCAAGCAGGTGGGTGGGTAAGTGGCTGCTGTGGCGTGGCGTGGCGTGGCGTGAACACAGCGGGGTGGACGGTGGCTGCTGCCGGGTGGGGGAAGGTGTGCTGGTGGCCGCCGCTGTGCAAGCACAGCCAGGTAGGTGGGCGTGTGCTACGGAGTGGGGGCGGGGGGGGCGCTGCGGGTGCACACACACACTACGAAACATGAGATCCCCTAGGATCCCTGAGATCTTGTACTCTGTAGCTGGGATCCTTGAGAGAAAAAGCTGTGGGGGTGGGAGTCACTTCCAACTTTCCCTGCTTTCCCCCTTGACTTTGCTTGTGGGAAGCTGGCAGGGAAGGTCACAAATGGTGATTACATGACCGCAGGATGCTGCAACTGTTGTAAGTGCAAGCCAGTTGCCAAGTGCCTGGATTGCAGTCACGTGACCATGGGGGTGCTGCAATGGCTGGAACTTCGAGACCAGTCATAAGTACCACTCATTCAGCGCCATCGTAAGTTTGAACAGTTGCTGAATGAGTGGTTGTTAACTGAGGACTACCTGTATGTCCTTGTAGTCACCAGAACTTAAGCTCGATTCAAAGGAGACTTCATTTTTAAAGGTATTTTAGGAAATAATGTCCCATTGTTCTTTTGATTATGCTAACCAAGAGACATTCTTAAGATTGTTCTCAAGCAGCGCAGATATAAATGTCAGTAGTCTGCTCTTTTTCTCTTTACTTACAATTCTTCTGATTTCCCTGGGATTGATATGTAGGATTAAGCTCTCTTTCTATAGGTAGCTCTGTTTAGATTCTGGCTTTGAAGCAAGGTATCTGCATGCATTTAGAAAGGAACCACAGTGGACGGTAAGGTCTCCATCTAGTGAGGACAATGGTTTTCGGAAAGGAGACGCTAAAAATGTTTTGTGATAGGTGTGCCATCTGTGGATGCTGGTTAATGCAATTGAGAATGCAGAAATGATTTTTCCATTAGCAACACTGTGTGGAAAAGCCACGTATGGCTCCGAATAGGGCAGAGGTATTAACTCCAGATGCTGTTTGTCTCTTTGATTTGTTCCTCTCTGCACGATGAGGGACAACAAACCAGGAAGAAATGGGCGTTCGATTTAACACTGGTAGCCTCTTGCTTTTTGTCCCCATTTTATAGCTTTTGTGTGGCCACGGATGTTCCACAATGCCAGAGGAAGGCATGATGCAGAAAATGGCTGCCTGCCGTGTTTCTTTCGGTACCGAGAGGCCAAGGGCTGTGTGGTTGTTCCAGCTACACTTGAAATAGGAACATTAACCTGACTATGAAAATTTTTGGTCTTTCAGCAGGGCCGGTGGGAGAGGGACAGGGCTGTCCGTAGGGTGTGGTCAAAAAAGTCCAGATGTTCGTGACGATGGTGTGACGGAAGCTCTGCCCATATTTATGCACATCACTTGTTTGACACACATCATAAACAGGTGGAGCTTTGTACCATCATGTGCCACCTTGACTATTTTTACCCTACCTTGCTGATGCCCCTCGAGAAGAGAAAGAAAACGGCTCTTCCCTCCTTTCTTTTAACCCCCTCCGTATGTGGATCTTTTATATAGGAATCGCTTTTTCGTGAGATGGGCGGTCTCGAAATTTGAAATATAAATAAATCAATAAATAGTAAACTGGCATTTTGGCTTCAGTTAAAAGAAGGGATTGTGTGGCTGCTCCTTTCTCATCATGTCTGCTTTGATTTTAGATTCCTTTTGGAGACTGGAAGATTGTTGTGTCACCTTTACGCTTGTTGTTTATTGGGCAAACTGTGGCATGGCACAGCCAGTGCCTCGCCTCTTTTTGCTGGAGAACCCTGTTCTTCCCGGCCTCTTCACACCCTGGCTTAAATCATTTCCTTCTTCCTGGCCTCAAGCATCTTTCCTGGTTTGGATTAGAGAACCTCTGATGATCTTCATCTCCTTCCCTTGCCTTCTTTCTTAGATCTTTCTCTTGCCTTTCTTTCAGGAACACAAAATGGCATACATAGAGCACACTTTTCCCCCAAACAACAACCTTGTGAGGTAGACTGGGCTGAGAAAGACTGTCCCCCAATCACTTCTAGAACCTGTGGGTCCCCAGGGCCGGTCTGACACCTCTTAACAACTGCACCACACGGCCCTTGTGATTTCCCTGTAATTTGAACAGTATTTAGTTCATTTATATTTATCTATTACATTTAATTTATTGTAATTAATTAATTTGTGTGGTAAATGTGACCTGGGCATTGCCTATGAATTAGAATCAGGCTGTTGGCATCTCTTCTTTTCAGAAAAAAAAAATCAGTCATCTGGGGAAAGTTGTAGAAGAAGAGCAGTGGGTGGGGAAGACCTCATGCTCCCATCCCACTCTGGTTTTCCCATGCAAATTGTTCAGGGAACGTTGTAGCTGAAAATCCGCCAAATACCTGGTCTTGACTGCTATTAATTGGGTCAGCCATCATTTGCTTACACTACTTTATTGAAGAAGCCAGAGTTGGGGGTACCGTAACTAGCTTATTGTGTATTTTCTGCACAGCAACATTGATGGGTCAGAAATCTGGACATCCAGAGGAAAACAGATATCTCAGACTGGACGATTATCAGACTTTGACATGGGAGAGGAAAGAAGAAAGCAAGAAGGATTTGGAAAGGGTTAGCAAGCAGCTCGAAGAAATCTTGGGAATGGCAGACTTAAGAAACGGTACGTTCGTTGCCTCTGATTTGTGCTTTATGTATTTATTTATTTGACCTATTTGTACACTGCCGGCGTCAGAAAGAACTCTTGGCAGCCTGCGTAGCAAAATACATTGTAAAACAAGCCCCATACTGAAAGAAAAACCAACAAAGCTACCAGAATGGGGAGAAAATAAAAGAAGGCAAGGCGACTCAAATGCTGGGTCTGCAAAACTGGTGTTACGTGCGCCTGAAAGCACGCAGTGGCTGAATTTGGAACCAACTGCAGCTTTGGGATAGTCTTCAAGGGCAGCCCCAAGTAGAGCGTGTTACAGTAGTCTGGATTCAGGTGATCGGGGCAGTTATTATTGCCAGTTTCTATTGTCTGTTACCCTTTTCCTCTGTTGTTGCCCATTATTACTTTAACTCCTTATGTAAGGAAGCCCATACATAATTTTTCATTTAATCATTCGTGATAAACCCTATCATGATAGAGTTTTAGTATGATACCAGCTTTTATTATTGCATCATCATTTTGTAAGCTGCTGACTTCCTTTAGACAGAGACAATGTATAAAAGTTGCTCAATCAACTGATCCGTTTATTTGGTCACCAACCAGAAATGTGTATAGTTGTGTTAAAGATGATGAAGCGCAAAGCACAATTAGAAGGAAAAAAGAGATTGCTAAACAAACAGCAATAGCAAAGAGATCAAATATTAGCTAAAATATAATGTAACTGCAGATAATAAAATACTAAAAAGAAACAAAATAAAAGCTAATATTGCAAATTACTACTGTGTAGTAATTATATCCTTATATTGGGATATAAAATCCTTGAATTCTAAAATGCCCAGCTGCTAAAAGTACTAAAATACTAGTTAACTATATTAATAAAATACTGAAATATTAAAATACGTCCAAGTATATGACTCAGTGAACTTTATATTTTATTTATTTACATCTATTTATTTATTTATGTATTTATTATTGTATTATTTTTACATGGAATTTCATATGATCACTAGAAGATGCAGTAAATGGAAGATGGAAAATATCTAGGTTCAGATTACAGTTTTTTGGGGTTCTTTCATACAGCAGCATGACATCTGACGAGTTGCTGGGCAAAAATGTGGTGCTTGGCACAAAATTTGGGGTGCCTTGTTTGCAGGTAGGTAATTTACATAGGAGTCATCAGGAGGAATACCTCTTGAGTTTTTCTGAATTAGAGGAGCTGCTGTTATGCTACAGATATCCTTATACAGTGGTACCTCTACTTACGAACGCCCCTACTTACGAATTTTTCGAGATACGACCAGTTCTGGCCCCAAAAATTTACCTCTACTTATGAACTCGCCTCGACTTACGAACCGGATCCGCGGCCATTTTCCGCCCGTTCCAGGTGGTCCGCAGCCATTTTCCGCCCGTTCCACGTG